TTCTGTTCCTGTGTTAGTTTGCTGAGAATAATCATTTCCAGCTTCATCCATGTCCCTGCAAAAGACATGAACTCATCCTTTTTATGGCTGCATAGTATTCCATGGTGTATACGTGCCACATTTTCTTTATCCAGTCTATCATTGATGGACATTGACATTTTTTAATTCTCACAGCAAGCTTATGAGGTAGGTACTATTATTGTCACATTTTCCTGATGGGGAAACTAAGGCAGGAGATTGAATGTCATTTGCACAAAGTCACAGTAAGTGGTAGAATCAAGCAGTTTTGGAGCCCCTGCTAAGTGTCAAGCAGTTTATAAATATTCTCTCATCTTCTCCTACACAACTTTGAGAGTTAGGGATTATTGTTTCCATTTTAAAGATGAAGCGATGGAGGCTCACAGAGCTAAATTAGCTAAGCCTAAGATCCCAAGCAAGTAAGCAGCAAAGTGGGAATGCAAGCCTAGGTCTGCTTGTCTCTTAGTGCTGGTTTCATTCAATCATCCTTTATTCCCAGAAATAAAAGCAGCCACATTTATTAAGGCTAATTCACATTTATTTTATTTAAGAAATTCAAGGCACCAGTCTAAGCCTTCTATAAGCATTCTCCTCTATAATTATCTCCAGAGTCCCAGGTGGTGGGTATTTATCTTCATTTGACAGAGCTGGAAACTGAGGCACGTAGAGGTTCTACTTGGCCAAGGTCACACAGCTAGAAAGTGGCAATGTGGGGAATGACTCTAGACCCTCTTCACATAACCTCTGGCATGTATTCTGTCAAGCTATAAGGTTGACAGACATCCTCCACCTACCATGAAATCCCAGGTCCTTGACCAATATCTAAGTGTGTGCTGGTGAGGGGATGGTGGGGAGGATAGGTACTCAAGAATTAGAGAGAAATGTTGGAGGAGAGGGCAAAGTTAGGGCTAAACCAGTGGCCAGGCAGCTCTCTGTCCCCTTCACCTCCCTGCCCCAACGTCCCAGAAGGAATCCTGGGATCTTGCCAGGTGCATCCTGGAGGTCATGAAACTGCCAATTAAGGCAAGCCTAGAGAGTTTAAAATAACAACAATAATACAATAATTCATTGCTCCTCCTTGGAGGCAGCGTGGATCTCTCCGTGCACCAGAGAGAGCAGTGGGATCTAGGCTGCGGACTGGCAGAGGCGAGGGGGAGGCCCCTCCTCAGCTTTCTTGGCTAGATAGATTAAAAGAGAACCTTCTGAAACAACAAAATAGAGGTCGGTGGCTGCCAGCTGGATGGACTTCCAGGCAGTGTCTGACAGAGTCAAGATAGGAGCTGGAGGAACACGCATCTCCATGAACACCACCTCCATGGGAGGTTTGACTTGGGGGTGACCCAGAGGCAGGGCCCCCACCCAAGGAGGAAATTTCATGTCTTCTGCAGGCGCCACACTGAATGTCAATGTGGAGAAGAAATCACTCCTGCAGTGAGCCCACCCTCTGCAACCTCCAGACATGTTCAGGTTGACTGCTATGTCTCTTTCTGGCTCACATGCCTCAAAGGGCTCCCCGGTATCTGCATGAAGCCTCATTCCTCATGTGGCCTCTGGGACCCTGAGCAATCTGGCCTCACCTACCTTCCCAGCTTCATCTCACACTTGTCCTGCATCATTCTAGAAAAGCTGCCCCTGCATGCAAGTGCCTACCCTGATCTATTTCTCTGCTCCTGGACAATGTTCGGTTTCTCTGCTCCTGGACTTAGCCCCTGCTTCCTGGAGTGATCTTTCCCTGTTCCCTCTCACTGGCCACTAGGTCCCAGGAGGACCCTAATCATCCTTTAAGATTTATCCCAGACTTCCCATTCTTGCCCTCCTCCCCCAGTGCTGAATTAGGTGCTGTATTAGTCTCCGAGGACTGCTGTAACCAATTACCACAAAGCTGCCTTGAAACAAGAGAAACGTATTAACTCTCAGTTCTGGAGCCTAGATGTTTGAAATCAGGATGGCAGCAGGACCATGTTCCCTCAGAGGCCCTAGGGAAGAATCTTGGCTCGCTTCTTTCTAGCTTCTCCTGGCTACTGATGAACCTTAGCAGTCCTGGGCTTGTGGCTACGTCATTCCAGTCTCCACCTCTGTCTTCAAATGGTTATCTTCTTTCTGTGTGTCTTTGCACCTTCTTCTTAGGAGACCAATAATTGAATTTAGGACCCACCCTTATCCAGTTTGACTTCCTCTTAACTAATGACATCTCCAAAGACCCTATTTTCAAATAAGGTCACATTCTTAGGTTTCCAGGAGGATGTGAATTTGGGGGAATATTATTCAACCCAGTACAAGCAGTTTAGAGAGGAGAACAGTATGACAGGCCGGGAAAATCAAGGAAAGGTTCAAAAAGAATCTAGGTCTCTGAACTTGACTATTATTTGCATAAGCAGAGTGAAAAAGAAAAGATATTTCATTTTGGGAAAACAGCTTGAGCAAACACCCAAAGGTGGGGAGCCAGTGACCCCTATAAAACTTATCCAGTACATTCAAGCTTGTGCCTGATAATACCTTTTCCCAAGGCCCTGGGATTCCTCCCATTTGCTTCCCTCACTTAAAACAATCTGGCAGCAGAGGAGAAATAATCAACACCTTTAAACAGAACTCATCTGCTAATAAAACTGAAAGCAATACTCTGTCACTTTGAAAGTATGAGCCACCATGTTTCTCAAGAAGCGTTCTATTCTAGCAATAACACTGAGCAAGTAAACTGCTTCCTTTTCTCTCTCCCTCTTTTTCTCTCTGTCTCCTCTATGCAGTACCAAATAATGGATGTCAAGTCATCTTTGGAGTATTAAATAACCAGGTAGCCCATGCAATAAGAGAGCAGGTACCTTGTTAATGCCAAAAGACAAGAGGAAAAAAGAAAACCCAAAGTAGTAGAAAGAAATGGAGTCAGACAGCTGGGGATTAAAATGCTGCCTTCATCACTTACTGACTTGTAACTCTGTGACCTCTTAAACCTCAATTTTCTCATCAGTAAAATAGGGATGATAATCTCACCGCCCTCCTGGTTTGCTTTTGGATTAAGCAATATGATATATGCACCATGCCTGGGACAAAGTCAGAAACTGAATAAATGCTAGCTGATAATCTTTTTCAATGATATTTTTAGTAATAATATGGTTACTGCAATTCCGAAATATGATATATTTGTATTGTAAAGTGAAGCAATATGTACCTAAGTTTGTGTCATAAAAAATCAGCGTTTTCAGTTTAAAGGAGATATACAATCAAAGGAAAAACACTGTATCCTCATTTTGAATGAGAAATATCAGTCTGAACTGATTGTGTATTTTCTCCTAAAAATTATGCATTTTCTAACTGTCCTCTTAAAATACCTAGAGCCAATAACTAACCCAGGAGCAGTGAGCACTCCCAGCACTCAGATTATGGTCTCAAATACCATTTTCCCACTCAAAGAGGTCAGAGTTCCCTAGAGAAATGGCTGACTCTGGCTTTAAGTAGAAAATGTGCAAGATAAGTCTGAAAGGATTATCATACCAAAGTATGAGAAAGCTGTTGATATATTAGGGTTATTTCTAGAGGACTCAAGACCAACTTTAATGGTCTTCCACTAGCCAAAGATGAGATCATTTGAGCATCAAATGTCCCTGTATGTAAGTCCCTCCAGTAAACCCTAGGTCTCATTCACTGTCTCCAGAGCACACTGCCATTTTGGTTGGAGCTGTTGACAGGAGTTCGGTACAACACCTTCCTTGGTGCTTCTGGCTGGGTTAAGTCACCTCCTCTGATCCATTACATCCCTCTCAAAGCACATCTTAAAATACATAGTATCTGGCAGGTTATGTGCCTGGTAACCTCGCCCCCTTTGAGTCCCCGGAGAACAGAGGCCATGTCTTTTTCACCACTGTATCTCCATCATCTGGTATAGTTCCTTGCATATTGTAGGCCATGGGGCTTATTAAATGGGTGAGAATGGAGGAATTACATCTTCCTCTTCATTTTCATTTCATCATGGCACACGCTTTAGCTCACTTATCTTCTGAACTCTCCCTTTCTTCACTCCTTTGTCAATAACAATTTTCTTGCACGCTGCCCCATTGGCCTCAGGCCATGATCTTGGCAAAGGAGGTGAACACAGACAATACGGTTTTGTCATCCAGATACCACCTAAGTAAGGACTTGCTTTTCTGTGGCACTGAACACTTTGCAAACTCCTTCGATAAGTGTGAGCTCCTTACAACAGCCCTGGAAGGCAAGCAAGGTTATTCTTGGTATCCCCAGGACGGAAGTGAGTGAATTTACATGGATAACTCGCAGTGTCTGTCCCATCCACAGAACCTGTTTTGGCAACTCCTACTGAAGAAGTGACCACAAGTCAACTGGCCACTCATGGTGTATGCTAGGGGCCTGACCCTTGGCCAGAATTGATGGGATCAGAACTGTACATTTGATTTAAGTGAGCCAATCAGGCTGTCTCTTGAAAATTTAAACTGGAAAAGAAAGGAGACTTCCTTGAAGGTCACTTTGGCATTTTTTGGAACTGAGCCAGTGTGCAGACTGAAGCAGAATAGAGCCACCAGACAGTCTGTCTCAGAAAGACAGAAAAAGAATAGTCTCCATGACTTTTGAGCTCTCTGTAGTGCCCAGTGGAGTTTCGTGTGAAAACCAGCTCCGACTCCTGCCCTTGGGTCTCAGGAGTCTCTTTAATGTCCTTCTCATAAATCCCCCATTTCACTAGAGTTAATTTGCGTAGGCTTCTGTTCCTTGTAAACAAATAAGCCTTGGCCTAGACAGGGATACAAGCAGAAGGAAGAACATCAGGCTAGAGATCACCTTAGTGGCTTTGCCACTGAGTAGCTGTGTGACATTAGGTAAGACATTTCATCTCTCAGAACCTCAGTTTCCACTCTTGTAAAGTAGGAGTGCTGACCATTAGCATACAGGAGCAATTGAGCAACACGCTTAACAGCATTTTGTCGCTGTATAATTACTAAATGATTAACTTGTCCACGATCACTGTAATAGCAGGAAATTCAAGCATCATAGTCGGCAAACCACAGCAGAGCTGCCAGAGAGAGATGGAGCCTTGTTCCACCGGAAGTCACTTTGTCCAACAGCCTCCTGGGAGCGGAGCTGCCTGTGGACACCACCCAAAGTTAGGGGGAAGGGTACAGTGGCTTTGAGCACGCCTGGCCCTGAAGTCACCAGCTTCCGGGAGGCACTGGCCTGGAGAGGGAGCCCCCACTCACCCAGGGGAGGCCGGGGAGCATCTTCCTCTGGCTCTTTCTCCCTAGGTCTCTGAGTTCTCAGGTCAGGGATGGTGTCTCTCTTGCTAATAGCCCTGTCTCCAGAGGCACACAGGCCTGGCACACAGTAAGTGAATGAATGTCTCTGTTTGTCTCTATGGGCCTCTGTTAGCTGATTTTTAACGTGGCGCTCTTTCTTCTTTCTCTCTCTGTGCCTCTCCCTGCTCTCTGTCTCTCTCGTCTCCTCCGTCTCTCCCCTCTCCGACTCCCTCTGTCCTCCGCGTCTCTCCTGCACCCTCCTCCGTCTCCACCCCACCTCAAGGCACGGGCACTCACAGCTGCCCCAGACCTCTCCCTCTCCCGGGCTCCCTTTGTCTTGATCTCCCTCTCCTGTTGCCTGGTAACCGCCCTCCCCGTCACCAGCCCCGCGGAAACCATGGCAACGGGCAGCCGGAAGATGCGGCCATTCCTCTCCCTTTTGTCCCTTGCATTTCAGCAGCGCCCGCGCACGTGGACGCTCCAATTACAGGTACTCGGGAGGGGACGCTTTTGTCCGCGGCCCATTCACCGCCAAGCAGGCTCTGGGCGGAGAGGCTGTTGGCGCTGTCGCACAAAGCGCTTTTGTGTCTCTTCCCGGTGCCCTCCTCCACTCCCCACTGCGTTCAAGGACAAACAAGGACCTCCAAATTCGTGTTCAAACACCCCACGTGGTGGGCAGTGGCGGGGATCAGAGGATTCTGGAATGAACGCAAAGGATGAACAGACCCAGCCAGCGAAGAACACACAGACAGACAGACAGACAGACAGACAGACAGACAGACAGACAGACCCAGCAGCCCCAGGAGGAGAACCCAGGACCCAAAGCGCCGGGCCTAGAACGAGTCACAATTGGCGTGCAGCTCTGGCTCCACCACTGCCGACCTGTGCCCTCTGTGCTCTGACCTTCCACTCTTTCAGCACCGAGGTCCTTCTGAAACCACAGAGGCTTGGCATCTGCTCTTCCCTCTGGCCCAGAGTTCCCTCCCCTCTTTGCACACTAACTCCAACCTGACCCTCAATCTCAGCTCCAGCACGCCTTCCTGGAGGAAGCTTCCCTGCCTATCCCTCCATTCCCCTTCCCAGGTTCCCACAACCCCCTAAGCTGCACTTTCCACGCGTACAATCATGTATATTTCTTAAATGTCGTCTAAGTTTCCAGGGTCTCCTATACCAAATGACCACAAACTGGATGGCTTAAAACAACACGTATGCCTTGTCTCCCAGTTCTAGAGGCTAGAAGTTGCAAGTCAGGATGTGTGGAAGGCCACGCTCCCTCTGAAGGCTACAGGGGAGGATCTTTCCTTGTCTCCTCCAGCTTCTGCTAGCTGTCAGCATCCTTGGTATTCCTTGGCTTGTGGACACATCACTCTAATCTCTGCCCATGGTCACATGGGTTTCTCCCCATGTCCCTCTGTCCAAATTTCCCTCATCTTATAAAGATGCCAGTCATTGGATTCGGGTTCACCCTGATCCAGGATGACCTCTCTTAACTTGATTATATCTATCTGTCATGATTATTTCCAAATGATACGGACAGGAAGGAGTCAGGGAAACACTGGGTAGAAGAGGGTGGTTCCCTGGTAAAGGCCCCTCCCTCAAGCCTGGATACCTGAGGCCCTAAATGAGAACAGGAATTCCTGTTTTCAAGCCCCAAAAATTGCCTTTTGGCCTGCCATACCCCATATCCTGCCCTCATATAAACCCCAAACCCCAAGTTCCAGAGCAGACCAGCAGGCAAGGAGACAAGGAGGCAAGCAGATGGATGGCAGAACAATGTGGCGGAGAAAGAGAGAAGAGAAGAGATGTCTGGATGCCAACAGGAGTTTGGCTGGGGGTGGTCAGAGAAGAATCCAGTGGCTGGGCAGCCCGACTCCAGGGGAAGATCACCTTCCCACTCTATCCCCCTGCCTTCAGGCCCCCCATCCATCTCACTAAGAGCCACCTCCACCACTCAATAAAACCTTGCATTCATCCTTCGAGCCCTCGTGTGATCCAGTCCTTCTGGGACACTGGGCAAGAGCTCGGGATATAGAAAGCTGTCACACTGGCCCTTTGCCCTTCTGATAAGGCAGAGGGTCCATTGAGCTGATTAATACTCAAGATGCCTGCAGATGTCAAAGCTGAAAGAGCTTTTTAACACTGGGGTTCCAAGCACCTACCCCTACACATTCCTGTGGGGCCAAGAGCCCAAAACACTTGCACAGCCTCTGCAGCTGCCCATCTGCATAATTACCCTAGGGGTTTGAGCTGCGGGGTGACTGAACAGGCAACCCACACCTCTGTGGCACACCCTGCAAGGGGAATCAGAGAACTCACCCATTTCACAAATAAGGTCACATTCTGAAGTCCACACATCCTGCAAGGGGAATCAGAGAACTCACCCATTTCACAAATAAGGTCACATTCTGAAGTCCACACACATCCTGCAAGGGGAATCAGAGAACTCACCCATTTCACAAATAAGGTCACATTCTGAAGTCCACACATCCTGCGAGGGGAATCAGAGAACTCACCCATTTCACAAATAAGGTCACATTCTGAAGCCCAAGGCAGAAATGAGTTTGGGGAGAGGAGGCACCATTCAACCCGGTATAGATGGTTATTCCTTCTCTAAACTTATAAACCCTCAGACTTCGGCAAACCTTTACCCATGACTCTGTCCCTCAGTGTCTGGTTAGCTAAGAGGTCAGTCAATATTCAGTGAATGAATGACCAAGCAAGAATTGCTTCTCCTCCATGAGCCTCAGGAGTCCTTATCTATAAAATGGGCATAATGGCATTACTTCAAAACATCATTGAGGAGGAATCCCCACCTGACGGGTAGAGAATGTACAAAAATCCATAACTATGTGTATCAGTTTCTTGCCACTGCTGTATAAATTACCACAAATTTCATGGTTTAAAATCACTGCAATTTACTCTCTCATAGTTCTGGAGAAATCCAAAATCAGCATGTCAACAGGGCCATGCTCCCTCCAAAGGCTTTAGGCGAGGACCCTTTCCTGCCTCTTTCAACTTATGGTGGCTCCAGGCATTTGGTTGGCTTGTGGCTAAATCACTCCAATCTCTGCCTCCACCTTCATGTGACCTCCATCCTGTCCCATGTCCTCTCCTTTCCTTGTTAGGACACTTAACATTGAATATAGTGCCTACTCAGGTAATTCAGTATGGTCTCATCTTTGAAGTCTTTAATTATACCTGCAAAGACCCTTTTTCCAAATAAAACTGCATGCCCTGGTTCAAATGATTTGACATGGGGACATATCTTTTGGGGGAGGGGGGAAGCCACCATTCAATCCACTACCATGATTATTATTTCCATAATTAAGGTACAAGCTGCAGTTGCTGACAATTTATATTCAATCAATATTTATGAGGACCAAGTAGTTACAGTTCTGAAATGTACTGATTTTGACTGAATTTTCACAATGACCCTGAGGAGTAGGCACTACTTTTTGCATGTTAAGGGTTGAGACAAGAGAGACAGGAGAGGTACGGTGATTTGCCCCCAAGTCACAAACAGGGCAGAGTCGTCCAGTGTACCCTGCCCCAATCCCAGCCCACTATGTGCACAATCCATTCCTCTGCCCAAAGCCCTTTCTTTTTCCCAGCTTCCCTAGCTGGGTCTGCTCATCCTTCTGGTTCCTTTCAGACTCTCCTCTGACCCTGCAGGGTTTTCAGCATTTCTTGGTTTCCAGGGCATCTCTGCTTCTTCGTTCTGTGTCTATCTGTGACCACTTCCTCTGAACTGTGAACTCCTCAAGGGTAAAGACTGAGTTTGGTTCAATATCACACCATCACAGCTTAGCGTGGAACCAACCATAGACCAGCTCTATAAATATTTATTGAAGTGAAATTGTAGGTGTGATGGTATTGTCATGGACTTATTCAACTGACACATATCAATACCAGTTATACTATTATTATTACTTGTTGTCTGAGACCCAGATCCCACAAAAATCCTGAGCTAGAGAAAGCTAATGGATACTTACTCCTAGGATTCAAGTGATTGCAAAGCTTGAGAGACTGAGTAACTGGAAAAACCCTGGTGCCATTAATAGAAACCAAGAGAATCAATAGTGTAGACCAATGCTTATCAAACATTAATATGCACACGAATCATCCAGGGGCTTGTTAAAAACACACATCCTGATTCAGTTGGTCTGCAGTGGGCCTGTGAGTCTGCAGCTACAAGCTCCCAGGTGATGCTGATGAGACTGGCCCGGAAACACACTTGGGAAGCAAGGTTGCGGCTGATTTGAGGAGGAGGAGGTCGAATATGGTGAGTTAGATTTGGAAATGCTGAGTTTGAGTTGCTCAAGTGATTAACTGATGACTGTTTCGATGAGGCAGTGCTAATACAGGACTAGGCACTGGAAAAAGGGGTGATGATTACAGCTTTCAATATGGTGCATCATATAGGATGTTGGTGAGCCTGAGTATGGGGAAGGAAAAAATAAAGAGATATTTGGAAAATATCCACATTTGAAGAAAAGAAAAAAAAAAGAGAAATAGAGAAGGAGCAGCTGGAGAGAGAAAGAGAAACCAGGATGGCACAGAGTCCCCGGACAGTCAATTGCTGCAAAGGGTGAGGACACTGAGCCAAGGACCCGCTCATGGAATTTACAACCTTGAGAAAAGATTTCACTAGAGCCGGGCCCAGTGGCTCACGCCTATAATCCCAACACTTTGGGAGGCCGAGGCAGGTGGATCACGAGGTCAAGAGATCGAGACCATCCTGGTCAACATGGTGAAACCCTGTCTCTACTAAAAATACAAAAAAAAATTAGCTGGGCATGGTGGCGCGTGCCTGTAATCCCAGCTACTCAGGAGGCTGAGGCAGGAGAACTGCTTGAACCCAGGAGGCGGAGGTTGCGGTGAGCCGAGATTGCCCATTGCACTCCAGCCTGGGTAAAAAGAGCAAAACTCCATCTCAAAAAAAAAAAAAAGAAAAAAAAAGATTTCACTAGGGTGCTGGAGGGCATGACAGACACTGTTGATCCCTAACCCTGCCTTTGGGCCGTGTGAATTTATCAGCAGCTGCAGCAGATAATTCCCCCATGCAGAAATTTCCCACCTTGAACAACTATGTCTGGTTATCCTCTTCACCTGAGGACTTTCTCCAACTCCAGAGAAGCTTACTTGGCCTCAAGTAGTCTCAACTGAGATGTGTAGGGGAGTTAACATCCTGGGGGACAACCGCTAACCAGTCTGGTGTGGGAGCGGGTAGATAAGTACCCTCGTTTCTCAGTTCTCTAAGGAAAAGTTTCTGAAGCCTGGCTTCTCAGCAGAATTAAGCTCCAGTTGCTCACAGCAGTAACTGCTCAACACCCCACCTTTTATTGGCTTATGCTTCCCGGAATCGCCTCCCTAATGGATTCTTTGTGCCTACGTCTTTGTTGCATAGTCTGCTTTAGGGGAAACTCACACCCTTGCAATGGGGCAGGTCAGTAGCCACGTTGCAAGGAGTTTAAATGAGGACAAATACAAGAAACAAGTGCATTAACACAAGAAATGAAAGTCATTTTAAACTAGCCTTGCAAATAGCCCCTCAAGCAGGTAATCTAGTGGTTACAATCAGTGATTTCTCATCAGATAAGGGAAAGCCTTGGAAAGCAGGTTCGCATTAGCACCTCCAAGCATCACCATCACCAATCCACTTTCACATTTGCCCCCACACGAAAAAAGCTGACGTCTCAGGAAATGAGCAAAGCTTGAAGAAGAGGATAAAGTTTGTCTTGTTCAGTTCACATCTCTGGAGACGGTATCTGGGTGCAGCTGAGGTTGCTGCTATATATAACACACAAGCACAACTAATAAAACTGATTGTAAAGCACTTTGCAGATCCAAAGTGCCACATAAATGCTAAATAAGAAAATTAATCTTAGCTACAAAGAACTCACGTTGTGAGATTGGAGTGGTTTTTGAGACCGTGCCAGGGGAAGGGGGGTGTGTGCCATCTCTCGTCTCTCACTCCTACTCTCTGCCCTCATTCTCCCCCCAACCAATATATGCACACACACTCCTGAGAAGCATGCAGGTGCTCCCATATGCACCCCTGACACATGCCCCCTAACATATATACCCCACATACATACTCATTACCCTGCACATATATACATCCAAGAACATCTTTACAGCTGTGTGTATATATCCACATGCACCCCCCAACACACATGCCAGCATATATATCTCTCTCACACACATACACACGTATCTGAAGACATTTTATAGTCATGCATATACACCCAGAGCCACACACATACATGGTCTCTCAAGCACATGGCATCTTCTAAATGTCCTCCTCACTTCAGTCACTGAAGTGCTTTACAATCAGTTCTATTAGTTGTGCTTGTGTGTTATACACAGTAGCAACTTCAGTTGCACATGTGGCCACAAATGCATCCTCTAAAAACCACACACACAAAACATTCTCTAACATACACCCCACCACACACAGTTTCACACATGCCTTTATACATGTTGCAGTATTTTGCATCGTTGTTTGAAAATTCTTGACTGGGTACAATGGCTCACACTTGTAATCCCAGCACTTTGGGAGTCCGAGGCAGTGGATTAACTGAGGTCAGGAGTTCAAGACCAGCCTGACCAACATAGTGAAACCCTGTCTCTACTAAAAATACAAAATTAGCCAGGCGTGGTGGCGGGCACCTGTCATCCCAGCTACTCGGGAGGCTGAGGCAGGAGAATTGCTTGAACCCAGGAGGCAGAGGTTGCAGTGAGCCAAGATGACACCATTGCACCCCAGCCTGGGCAACAAAAGTGAAACTTCATCTCAAAAAAAAAAAATAAATAAATTCTTTGCACCCTCTTTGCATTAAAACCATATGTCTATGCCCTGCGTCACACAATTGCCTCGCAATTGCTTTGGCCAATGAAACATTAGCAGATGGTTATCCAAAGAGGGTTTAAATACGTCTGTAAGCTTTGGGTTGTTCTCTCGGTCTCCAATGATCTGCCAGGAATAGAGCATGCCTCTTCAGCCAGGACCCCCAGATGGACACAGAGCAGATCGAAACTTCATGTGCAGTGTGTACAGCAGCCCAGATGGACTCACAGCCCAAAGTAGAGCCACCCACATGAGTCCAATCTAGATTAACCACAAACTACAAACCTGGAAGCATGAGACTAGACCAGGGATCAGAAAACTACAGCGTATAGGCCAAATCTAAACTCTTCCTATATTTGTAAGTAAAGGTTTCATAGAGCACAGCCACGCCCATCCTTTATGTATTGTCTACAGCTGCTTCCACTTTACAAGGGTAGAGTTGAATAGTTTCAATAGACACCACATGGTCAACAAAGCCTAAAATGATATCATCTGAACCCTTTATAGAAAAAGTTTTC